CACATTTTATCAAAGACTCAAGTCCATGAAGCAACCACTTGAAGCCCAAAATATTCCAGTTTTGGAAACGTACCTCCAGAAATGAAGCCAGTTCGACATTTAGCCTGAGTTGCCTACTAAAGTATATAATATGGCAGAATTCTACCGAAAACACATTATATAAAATGGTAAAAATTCAAACTGTCCACTGCAAAGAACTGATTACTTCATTGAGTTAGACTACACCATTCTACTTCATAACACTGCATCTCAGGAGATTATTCCTCAGCCAATGCAAGTTCTCTGGCATCCATCCGCATCATGGTACTTAAAGTAAAACATAGCAGTCGTCTCCCAAAGGAAGCACAATTGGAATAGATGAAGACCCTACCAGGGGAAGAAGTGTGAACTTGCTTATTAGTGACGTGCATTCCAAGCGCCACTGAGATCTAGCTTAAGAGGTCAAACAAACCCAAAGTGTCACACTGTATAAACGTCTTGATTATAGTACAGAACTATACATAATCCGTAATAAAGAGTTTACAGATATAAAAGTAATAGTGCCATGTACATCCCATAATAAAAACCTTTAATTCCAAAAAAAAAAAAGAATAGCTTCTGGTTTGCACAAAGAAATTAGGTACCTATTGTACAACAGCTAAAAATAGAGCTAACAGTTCATCAAAATTAATGGAAAGAGGTCTTATCATTAATCAAAGGTTTTTTGTATGCCTGTGCTAAATCACTCTTTCTTGATCATCTATCTTCAATTTCAAAAAGCATGGGCATCAATGAGTTTTCATTTATCCACATTTGCTTTCAGAACTTAGATCTCTAACTAGCTGGGTAACAGTGAATCCCAGAAGAGAGTGGTAAGACCATTACCCATTCACAAGGACCAGTTGCCAAATCCAGAATTTCTTGTTTTCTCAAATTCCAGCTGTGGATATTTGTCATACCAAAATCTGTACAGCTTTTTTTTTTTTTAATACAACATCCTAAAGAGTGTTTCTCAAAACACTTTTAATTAGTGAATTACAGTATGTCTTCTGACCACATACAGCAAATCACCTGGAAACAACACATCAACAACGAATCCTGGTCACCACCTAGGGCTACTCTCAGAGGTTGGGCATGGGAAATCTACATTTTAAAGTGAGGACCCAGATGATTTTCAAAATTGCCACTGCTCTTGGGCATCAATTTGCTTCAGAGGAGAAAAGGAAAGACCTGGTCAGTATAGACCCTCTCTGCCTTTCATATTTGAAACATTAGCTTGTGGCAGGGATGGGGCATGGGACTGGATGACTAAGACTACCCACACACACCCATGCACACACACAGAACAATTCTGCTAATAAACTAGACTAGAGATCAATGCCCTAGAGTAAAGCAGTAACTTTTACACTTACTCCTCACAAGAAAAAAAATAGCCATTTCTTTTGAAATTAATATTTTCATTGGCAAAACCATGTCGTGTTATGTACGGTCTTTTTGTTATGTCAAAAACAATGTTTACTGAAAATGAGTTTTTGATAATACGATTAGCCAACATTTACTCAGCAGTTCTGTCAGGCACTTCACTGATTAAATGTTTAACACTTTGTCTTACTGAATGTTGACAATTTACTTATGAGGCAGACACTGTTATTGTCCCCGTTATCTCAACAGGAAACTAAGGTTTAAGAGAGGTTAAGTACCTTGCTTAAGATCACAAAGCTAATATATAATGAAGCCAAGGCTTGATTCCTGGTCTGTATATTGCCCCAGAGTTCAATAATTGTATTACACTGCCTCGAGTTGCACCCAACATTCGTTCTACAAGCAAGCAAAGACTGAGGTGGAGCTTTCTGTTCTGCAATAGCAGACCATACCCTTAACATGGTAGCTAGCACACAGAAGCTCAAAAAATACATGCTGATGAACAAGTATCAAAGAGGGAAAAAGATAGGAGTCCCTTTTAGAACTGCAATCTAATTGGAAGAGAAAAATTAGAAAAACAAATCTCACATGCAAAAATTCCAACAGAAGGCAGAATAAAAGAAAACGTGATAGTCTATGAAGAAGGGAGTCTTTGTGGAAATGAGTATTCTGATTCCTCAATTCCTACACTTACTGGTTTAGGGATAGGGAAATAAACCTAAGACCTTCACAATGCTCATAAGCATAGTTGGGAATGCCAAAAGACATCAAGCACACATTACACAAACAGCAAAAAAGTTAAAAATAATAAAGAGCATGATCCTAACAATCACACTAGAAAGGAATATAATAACTGTATGACATGGTGTGTGTGGGTCACAGGGAAGACAGTGTAGCTCAGAGAAGACAACCAGGGACTCTGTGGCATCTTACTAAACTGATGGGCAGTGACTGCAATGGATATGGGGGGGACTCGATAATAAGGGCGAATGTAATAACCACATGGTTTTTCTTGTGAAACCTTCATAAGAGTGTATATCAATGATACCTTAATTTTAAAAAAATGAAAGAAAAAAAATAACTGTATGACAGAAAAGAGGCAGAGCGCTGGGAACCAATCCAGGGACTGCTGAAAGATCTGCCTCAAACCTGAAGGTTTGAACAGGTGATTCTCAAGACACAACAGACATGTCTGGAACTGTGATGTCCGATCCACAGCCTCAGGGAAACATCTTCTACATATACTCTCAAGAAACAAAACATGTGTTACAGTGTCTCTCATTGATTTGCACACCACCAAATAAAGTTAAGCTAGGTATGTGGAGGACAAACTAAGGCACAGAAGGGAAATAATTTGCCTCAACAGTAAAGTTTAAAAAAATGTATTGACTTCCTGCCCAATGTTCTAGCAAACACGGAACTCCATTCCCCAAAGATGGGAAATTACCTTCCTTAGGGGAGATCCATGTTGTTGGAAACCTGTGGGTGAAGTTACTAGAAGGTTAGCTGAGTCCTTTGGGTAGAAAGCTGATACAGCCAACATACCTCGAGAGAGTTACGTTGAGAAACAGTTACATTCCACATGGATATAATAAATAAAAGCAGTCACTGCCCATAGATAATCTGACTCACAGATGTGGTACAACTCTCCTGCAGGAACTGCAATTTGAGCTTAGCTTTTCAAACCACAGTTGTTTTTTCTTAGCACATGTTCACCACTCAGACTTCTACAAACACATTAACTGAAGAACACATGATATATCCAAAATGCCAATATTCAAACTGACTTTCTGCCAAACCCTGAGTGATTTAATACTATTCCATTTTTTACTAATGCCAACTCATAGAACATAACCAATGACTTTCCTAATGCTCCAGAGTCACCTCGATACTACTCTGAAAAGGATTCACATTTGGAGAAACAGGCTCAAATGGTAAAATGCCCTGTCTGAGGTCATCTGCTAATCAACAGGCATCAGGAATAGAATTTAAGTTTTCTCTTAGTCCAGACAACTACGCATTTCAAACAAAAAGCTGCTGCTCAGTGTAATCCCAATCATCATAATGTGCCTTCCAGCACAAAAAGCAAGGTCATTCCTAACACGGGGGATGAACAAAGCAGTGCCTAGAATCCTAGTCTCATTTCTTCCACCTTCAGGTATGATGAGTTTGGCAGGTTCTCCAAGATGATCAAAGCACCTTTCAGGTAATGCTTTCCTTCCCTCGTTCTCTTTCATTAAAGGGCCTGCCTTACCCTACAGGAGCTAAACTACCCAATCTCCACAATGACTAAGAAATAAGCCTAAGACAAGAAGGGCACAGTGACCACACTGCCACACGATATAAGAACCCACATGGAACAGCAGAAGAGGAAAAAGCAAACGTGTCTTCACAAGGTTCGGGAGTAGGCCAATGGATATTCCAAAGAAAATCGCATTAAAGCAGAGAGATGAAGGAAACGGTATCAGAAAATGGGCAATGTTTTTAATAAATATTTACTGGGAGCCTGTTGCATGCCTTTTGGGTGCTGAAGATACAGCAGTAGACAAAAAAAGTGGGGAAACACTGCTGGCACAGGGCATATTAAGTCGACGGGGATGTATAATTTTAGGAGAGAGTGTGGTTGAGAGAACTGAAGACGCTCCAAGCTGTAACATGGGGGACCGAGGTGTGGTGAGCTGGTTAAAAGCTTCGGAGTCGGACAGACTTGTTTGAATCCTCACTTGACCACTTAGTTAGTTCTGAGTTGGATTTGTGAGTCATCTGTAAAATAGAAGGTAGCTCACGGAGTTGTGAGAATTCAGAGATCATGCACAGAAGAGCTTCACCAGTGTCTAAGGCTAGTGAGCGCTACGTAAGAACTCTTAATATTTCATCTTCTCCTTCCCAAAGCCCAGCGCGGTCCCCGGGATCTCTTGGAGGATCGGGGGATGCCTGCTAGCAGAATCAGTACATGAAAAGACAGACGGATGAATAAAGGCTGAGTACAGAAAGGGGGCAGAAACTGCAAGGAGGTGGCGCGGCGACGCACAAGACAGGTGTCCTAACGCGAGCACATGGGAGAGCCTGGGAACGCGCCGGAGGCGCAGCCGGGACGGGGATGCGGGCTCCCCCGGGCGACCGCGAAGCGCCCCGCCGCGCCGCTAGGGAGCGTCCCCCCGGACAAGGAAGCGCGGTGGGGCCGCGCCGGTGGGGAGAGTGAGTGGAAAAGGAACTGGGTGAGGAGACGGGAGACCGGCGCTGAGGGACGGACGGCGGCACTGACCCTCCTCTTGGAGAAGTCGCCTCCGATCCCCGTGCGCGGGGACCGTTTGGACCTTAACTGCCTCCCGTCTGCGCGTCCGTCCCCGAGCCAGGCTTCGCCCCGCCACCGCCGCCACATATCGTCCCCAAATCCCGCCCGGCTTTCGCTGGGCATGGACCCGGCGCCTCACAGCCACCCCCGCAAGACTCGGCCCGCTCCGCACCTCACATACGACCCATCAGGGTCCGCCGCCATCTTCGAGCGCGCGCGCGCGCCCAGCCCCGCCCACAAACGCGGCGCCCACGTGACCTCGCCTCCGGACGGGGGCTTTTTATCATGTGACGCCCACCAGGGGCGGGACAACATGGCGGTGCCAAGAGCTTCGAGGACCTCGCGGCGAAGTCCGCAGAGGTTGTGAAGAAAACCGCTCAGTGGCAATGTCTGTGCCGTACGTGGGAGGCTGTGGAGGGTGACCGGGCGCCAGCTCCCAGGCTGCAGAGGGTGGCCTACTGTGGAATTTCCCTCCTCGCAGCTGGAGAACGGTGAGAGCTAGTGCTGGGTGAGTGAAGCCGACGCCCTCAGCCTGGCAGGACCAGAGGGGCCCAGAGGCCAAGGCGTCCCTAGTCAGCCCGGTTTCCCCGAGGCCCAGGTCCAGAGACATGGCCCGAGGGTGTGCTCCCCCAGCCCCGGGGACCGGGACTCCGCTGAGCGGGTCGGTACTGGCAGAAGCGGCCATTGTGTTTGCGGTGGTATTGAGCATCCACGCCGCGGTCTGGGACCGATACTCCTGGTGCGCCGTGGCCCTCGCAGTGCAGGCCTTTTATGTCCAATATAAATGGGACCGACTGCTACAGCAGGGAAGCGCTGTCTTCCAGTTCCGAACGTCCGCAAACAGTGGCCTACTGCCCGCCTCAATGGTCATGCCTTTGCTCGGACTGGTCATGAAGGAGCGCTGCCAGTCTGCGGAGAACCCATATTTCGAACGTTTTGGAGTCGTGGTGACGGCCACTGGCATGGCAGTGGCCCTCTTCTCATCAGTGCTGGCACTGGGCATCACCCGCCCAGTGCCCACCAACACTTGTGTCATCTCAGGCTTGGCTGGAGGCGTCATCATTTATATCATGAAGCACTCACTCAGTGTGGGCGAGGTGATCGAGGTACTGGAGGTCCTGCTGATCTTTGTCTACCTCAATATGATCCTGCTGTACCTGCTGCCGCGCTGCTTCACCCCTGGGGAGGCCCTGTTGGTACTGGGTGGCATCAGCTTCATGCTCAACCAGCTCATCAAGCGCTCTCTAACTGTGGTGGAAAGCCAGGGAGACCCAGTGGACTTCTTCCTGCTGGTGGTGGTGGTAGGGATGGTGCTCATGGGCATGTTCTTCAGCACCCTCTTTGTCTTCATGGACTCAGGTACATGGGCCTCTTCCATCGTCTTCCACCTCATGACCTGTGTGCTGGGCCTGGGCATGATCCTGCCCTGGCTGCACTGGCTCATCCACAGGAACCCCCTGCTCTGGCTTCTTCAGTTCCTCTTCCAGACAGACATCCGCATCTACCTCCTAGTCTACTGGTCTCTGCTGGCCGCCTTAGCCTGCCTGGTGGTGCTGTACCAGAATGCTAAGCGGGCATCTGAGTGCAAGAAGCACCAGGCCCCCACCATTGCCCGGAAGTATTTCCACTTCATTGTGGTGGCCACCTACATCCCAGGTATCGTCTTTGACCGGACCCTGCTCTATGTGGCCTCCACTCTATGTCTGGCAGTCTTCATCTTCCTGGAGTATGTGCGCTACTTCCGCATCAAACCCTTGGGCCACACTCTCAGGAGCCTCCTGTCCCTCTTCCTGGATGAACGAGACAGTGGACCACTCATCCTGACACACATCTACCTGCTCCTAGGCATGTCTCTCCCTATTTGGCTAGTCCCCAGACCCTGCATACAGAAGGGTAGCTTTGGGGGAGCAAGGGCCCTAGTCCCCTACTCGGGCGTTCTAGCTGTGGGTGTGGGTGACACCGTGGCCTCTATCTTTGGCAGCACCATGGGAGAGATCCACTGGCCTGGCACCAAAAAGACTTTTGAGGGGACCATGACCTCTATATTTGCCCAGATCATTTCTGTAGTTCTGATCTTAATCTTTGACACTGGAGTGGACCTAAACTACAGTTATGCTTGGATTTTGGGGTCCATCAGCGCTGTGTCCCTCCTAGAAGCATACACTACACAGATAGACAACCTCCTTCTGCCTCTCTACCTCCTGATACTGCTGATGGCCTAGCTGCTGCTGCGCAGCAGGAGAGAATGGGACCCAAGGCTGGCCGGTCCTCGGAGCAGCTCCCCGCACGGGCATGGAGAGCCAAGGCACGAGAAGCAGATACGATTTTGCAGCTGATGCAGATTCAAAAAAAAAGTCAAAGCTTTGTTTTAGTTTGGCTGATATTTAAAAAGCAAAAAAGGCTTAAAGGAAAATGCAAGAAGTCAAAGAACTTGAGTGTGCTGTAGGGTCCCCCGTCCTCACCTTACTATCCTGAGGTGGCTGGAATGGACACGGGAGACAAGAGAATAATAGTTAACACTTGAGGTTCAAATTTCTGATATCAAACTGATCTGGTCAGAATCCTTGGCTCTGCCGCTTCCTGTGTGAGTTGCTGAATCACTCTGGGCCTCAATTCTTTTGTCTAAAATGGGAATAAGAGCCTGTGCCTCTCAGGGTGTTGTGAGGAGCCTGTGAGGTGAGGGGTGTGAAGTGTCCAGCCCAGGGCCTTCATGTAATGAGCAATCAGTAAAGGAAAGTGTCATATTACCCAAAGCCAGGCCTCATCTCAGCTAAAAGCCAGGCGAGCCCAGGGGTTTTATGGGTTATACTTGGAGACCAGAGTGACCTTACACCCGTAGCTTCATTTGGAAGAGAACCCAGGAGGAAAATAGCCAAATGCATGTCGTTTCTCCCATTTGGGCTAGAAGAGCTGGAGGGGAAAGGTGAGATGGGCCGGGTGCATTTGTGGAAGGGCTGGAAAAAGAGGATCAGGCCCTGGGCTGACCTCAGTCAGCCAGCCCCACCCCTGCCTCAGGACCTCTGCTGCCTGGCTGAGTGCTGCTGGACAGCATAGGGTCCTTGTCAGTGAGACCCTTGCACACTCCAGTCATATCCACACCTGTGTTTGTCTCTTCTCTTGGCAAGAAATTAAAGCCAAGGGCACAGGTGGAGCTTATTAAGAGTTCAAAATGGCTCTCCTGGGGGGCCCATACTCCAGCCTTGCCCTCTATGAGGGCAGAGTTCAGGTCTGCCTCGTCCCCCACCACAGTCTGCTGGTGCCAGTGGAGCCTGGCACACAGCAGGAACTTGGTAGATGTTTGCCGAACAGACCAACAATTTCCATCAGTGGGAAAATAGCACAGCAGGTTTCCCAAAGCTGGACAGAGTTCTCCCTGCTCCCTCGGCCTGGCAGGGAGAGGTGAGAACTTCGTCTCAAGGCTGGAAGCCAGGAGCAGAGCTCTAGGGAACTTGGGCTGCCCAGTAATCACTGCCAAGCCCTTTGCCTCAGAGGTAAATACAGAGACACATTCTTTTGGGGCTGAAAGGAAACTTCCCTTCTCAGACCCCCTTCCGTTGCTTGCTAAAGGAGGTGGCAGAGTGTTGGGGAGCACCAGCTTTGCCTCGCTGACTCCCTAGGTGGCCTTGGGAAAGAGCTCTGTCCTCTGTGTCTTGGCTTGTCCATGTATAGAAATGGGGTCTGGATATCAAGGTCACAAATGCCTATGGCTGCTGAGGCCAAGCAGAGAATGTGATGGAGGACAGGAAGGGGGAAGTGAGGTGCACATGTGCCCCCAAGGAGGCCACTCCAGCCACTTGTCACTATGCTAGACCATGGGCCCAGCGCTGTTGACCTGCTCATTCAAGAAAGCTTAGAAACCTGGATTGTTATATGAAATCTCCTAATTTTAAAAAGTTTTAAAAAAAAACGCTGAGGCCCAGGCAAAACACATCTGCAGTGTGGAGTCAGCCAGCAGCCCCTAGTTTACAACTTCTGGGTCAGACCCAGCTAAACAGGTTTTGGATTTGACAGTTGTTCCCGCAGAAGGTCTGGGTGTCTGCCAAGCATGCCCAAGCAGGAGGGACCCACAGGGATCTTAGCCTGCCCCCTTGATTATAAAGGTGGGAAATTGGGCTCAGAGAGAAGGGCCTAATCTGAGACCAGAACAAGCTGGTCACAAAGCCAGTACCAGAATCTGGGATTCCAAGCCATGGTCTTTCTCCCTCCCCAAGCAGTGGGTACCGGGTACCAGTAGTGTAGAAGTTAAAGGCAGACTCTGGATCAAGCTGGCCTCGCTGAACAACTCAATAGCTAGCTGTGTGACTTGGGCAAGTCACGTACTTTTCCCATGCGTCATCTGCTTCATCTGTAAACGTGAATGGTAAGAGTGTGTACCCCGAAGGCTGAGGACTCAGTGAGATAGGGCATGAAAAGCCCTTGGCATAGTGAATGCCCACTGTCACTTACTTCGCATGCTATTAAAGTGCAGCCCTCACCAGGCAGGGCTGGGGTACCTCATACGACTTTCAGGAAGGCTCTCATCTTGGGAGCAAGACTGCTTGGGAAAGGATGGAGAAGCTGCATTCAAAAAATTGTTTTTATTCTGTGTCTTGCATGGTAATAATCAGAGTTCCATCTGAGAGAAAAGTGAAAAGCTGGCAAGAAGTAGCCAGAACCCCTTCGTGGCTGAGAGGCTGCATCTGTGTGTGTGTGTTGTGGGGTGGGAGGGTGAGGAAGGAGGGAGGCAGAGAGAGATCTCAAGAGAGCCGCCCAGCCCAGGCTCCTGCTGCCTGTCTGCAGGGCTGAGGGGCGGACAGTGATACAAGAACTTCCCCATGACTGCTGGGCACTGGGGTGACGCACTGGTTTTTGCCCACAGCTTCACCTGGGAGGGGACAGTGCCCCAGCCCCGAGAGGGCCTTTAGGTGTACAGTGGTGGGAACGGGAGCTCAGCTGTTGGCTGGAGCCTGTAGAGGCGAAAGGAGATGACCTTGAGATGCCAGGATCACTGATCCGAGCCTCCAAGACCTCTTTAGGAAACGGGCGCATACATACATCCTGCCGCCTACCAGTTCTCTGGGCTCCAGACAGTGCCAGAGGCCTCCATGACGTGGAAAGTGTAGGCGTGGCGTGAGCGGTCAGAAAGATTCTGCTTGCTCATGTGCACCACTTCTCCGTGGATTAGGATGAGGGCCCCTGGCAGGGACACAGCAGGTCAGAAGAACACTCAGGGGCGGAAGGGACATGGAGCCCTCATCCCTCCAGCGGTTCTGTGGCCAGTTCATCCCTGAAAGCTCAGGGGCCTGCAGCCTGCCCTGGGGTCGGAGACTGTACTGTTGGGCATGAGTTCCCCGGGGATCAGGTCCCTTCTGCTGTGGCCTGTGCCTTTGGCAAGCCTTAGCAGCTGCATCCCCTTCTGTGGTATTTGCAAAGCCAGGCGGAAACTGTCCGTACTGTGCCTGCCAGTTAGCCGGGACCTCGCCAGCAAGGCTGAGTTGAACTTCAGTTTCCCTTTTCTGAAGGGAAGAGGGTGCACTCATAGCCAGCACTTGCTGAGTACTTGCTGTGCGCCACCCAGGTAATGTATAAACATCTTGTATACACCATCTCGCTGACCTCCCCACTTCACATCTGGGGAAACAGGCTCGGAGAGGTTCACTCATTTGCACAAAGACAGCCCAGAAGTAGCAAAGTCAGGATTCCAGCCTGACCCTGAAGACCCAGCCCTTCATCACGCTGCATTCAGCCTTCGGAGTGCCTGTCCGGCCCAACCTTCTCCCACTGGGTGACTCCACAGCCCTCTGGTGGGTTGGGTGGTCAGAGCAAGCACACACACCCCCGGCACATGGCCTCAGGGCCCTGCCTCCCTGCCCTCTGCTTCCTGCCTACCTCTCTGCACTGGTGTGGGCACAAAGAGGCTCTGATCTCGGACTGGCTCGGACCCAAGGAAGCTGGTGCCAGGCCCTGAGCCAGCAGGATCCCGGATGAATCTTTTCGACACTCCACCTGCAGGCCAAGATGGGGCCCTTAGCCTCCCTTTTCTCCACTGCACCCTCTCCCAGGAGCTTTGGGTATGGGTGGACAGTGAGACACAGGTGTCCTTACTGGTGTGGGAGCCAGGAATGAACCAAAGGCAGCTGTTTTCCAGCGTGGCATCCTCCAGCGCGATCCATATGCCCAGCACCCGGCCCAGTGGCTCCGTGTGCAGGAAGGAGGCATCCTGGTGTGGGGAGACTGCAGCAAGCCCACCAGCCATGAGGAGCCTGGCCCCGCATCACCTCTGCCTGGATTGCCACCCGCTCCCACCCACAGTGGTGCTCTCAGAGCCCGGCATTCCTGTGATTCAGTTAGAATATCACCACGTCCTGGTACAGAGACTCAGGGCAAGAGATTTCATCTTTCAAAGCTGCAATTTCCTAAAGTGGCCCCACTCATAACATACCTCACAGGGTCACTGGAGGTTTCCGTGAGACGATGTATGGCAAATACTTAGTACACAGCCTGACACTAACTGCTGAAAAGTAGCTGCTATTGTTTAATTCCAGCCAGGTAGTAGAGCCACCATCCTTAGCCAGCAACCGCAATGCTAGCCACCAGATGACCCAGCGGCAGTGTAAACTGGGGAGTTGAGTGCAAAGTAGGGGGACGACTGGCCAAACAGCTACATTTTAACCCGCCAGGTGATGCTGGGGCCCACCCAGGATGGAGGACTGCTGAGCAATGGGCCTTCGTCTGTGCTAACAAAGTAAAGGGGGTGCCAGCCTTGCCTCCTCCCTTCCTGGGAAACTGTTTTCTAAGCACCAAACCTTTCGAGGGACTTTGACAATCCAGTGGCCAGAGGACGGCATACTAATGGTGGGCATTCCAAAGCATTTGGAGGAGGAAGAGCTGAAGAAAGTGGGGGTACTAGACTTGGGGAGGGGATGTCACCCCTTCAGGAGACTGTCCTTGGGCTGACTGGTGGGGGAGAGCAGGTGGACACAAGGAGTTCCAGGGGCGCTCATGCAAGGGAGGGAAGGGCTGCCTGCGAGGGGTGAGGCCCCCGTTACGTGTGAGCAGAAGCAGATAATCGCCCTTGAGGGAGGCTGTAAGGGGATCTGTGAGTCCACTGGGGTTTGGAATTAGGCAGTTTCTATGCTGAATCATTCCTCGGGAACTTATAAAAAACACAGATTCCTAGTTCCTTGCAGCCCTACTGACTCAAGATCTCAGACTAGGGCCCAGGAATCTGTATTTGTAACCAGCTAGAAGTGGCTGTCAGGTTCTGAACCACTGTGCGACCAGTTCCAGGACACCCTCCAATCCTCTGTTCCTGGAGGCAAGGGACGGTGGCTTCTCCTCCCGGCGCAGGCACTTGGCCTTTGCACTTCTCTGCAAGCCCCTTCCCCCCTCCAAAGACCCGACAACCAGTAACGTCCCACATCTCCTGCCATAGCCTCTGCTGGGCACCACAGCCAGTTCTCGGCTCACCTTCGCCGCCAAAGTGAGGTTGCTGTAAGAGAAGGGAAGGGCCAGGTGAGGCCAGAGGGGAGCAGGGGCGGCAGGGGGCCTGCTTTGTCTTGTGGGATGCTCTTCCCTGGTTACAGGGGTTCACCACCAAGGACTCCATGTCAGCACCCAACTATGGGGCACCTACTGTGCGCCCGGCCCAGGCAGGCTGCAAAGAAAACACCCTGCCCGACGGCGCTCCAGCTCTGGGCACCCACGTGCACAGCAAGAACACAGGGCAGAAGCGGGGCAGCAGGAGAGGCTGGGGCCCAGGCCTGCGGTTGAGCCTCTTGGCCCCAGGGTCAGAGATGGAACCCTCTCTGCTCAAGAAGCTTGAAGGTTTCTTGGAGGTGGCACTAAGCTGGGCCTTGAAACCTGCAAGCAAAGCATTTCAATAGCCAGAGAAAGGAGGGAGTCCTAGGGATTCCCCTGCCTCCTACCACCAAATCTAACTGAGCACCAAGTGCCAGGTGCCTTACCAAAGGAGATGCCACATGTGTCCTCCCCGCAACGAAACAACTCAGGCAAGCAGCTTTACTTTGTCCCGTCGTAAGGAGGTCTGAGCACTTTGCCCATTTTACGGAGGGCAAACTGAGGCCTGCAAAAGCTGGGCGCTCACCTTAAAGATGTACATGCTCTGCACCACCACGGGCATCTGGAGGCCCAGACTTCTGACCAAGTCCTAGAAAGACGCAGAGGCCACTCTGCTGGCCTGCCCACACTCACGTGTGCCCCCACCACCCCGATATCTCTGCTCACCTGCATCTTAGAGGAGTGGGTGACACACCTGAAGAGGGGGTCACGGGCATGCAGAGCTGTGGGACAGAGGTGGGCTGACAGATCAGTCCCCAGCCCCCACACCTCCTCTCTGTGCCTGGCCCTGGGCACCCGGATTCAGGCCTCACATGGACCTTCTCATCTACTTCATGTGCATTAAGCCTTCTGTCTGTTTTTCACCAAGGAACAGGTCCACCGATGCCTCCACCCTGCAACTCCCATGACCTTATTCTTGACCTTCCCGCCATCTGGAAGCCTCACTCCAACCCCGACTCCAAGCGGCCTATGACTTGGGAACCATCCTGTGCTACCACTCACTCCATGCAGCTTGCAGCACCCATTTATCTCCCTCAAGCCCCATTTCCTCCTCTGCACTCCACTGCCGCAGGACTCGATGGGCTAACGCACGTGCAACCGCAGGCCAGGGCCTGGCATGTAGTACCTTCTCATTCTTTGCTGGTATTACTGTTATTATAAAGTCAGGGGTGTCTGTACACTTCAGAACAATTACAATGGTATATTTTATATGTATTTTATCACAATTTTTTGTTACAAAGATACCATGATGTAACTTCAAATTTAAAAATAAGCGGTCTCCATGCCCTCTCAAAAAAAAAAATAAGCGGTCTCCACCTCAGCATTTTATTTAAAATAATAATAATAATAATAATAATAAAGGGAGAAATGTGGGATCCACATAAATCAAGTATAAAAATCAAACGAATATTCATATTTGACCTGATTGTTTATAGTTCATAATGCGTGATCAAAACCTAAAGTTTCTGTGATGACTGCCCTTGCACTGTTCACCATGTAAGAACTTATTTACTATATAAGAACTTGTTCACCATGTAAGAACTTGTTTGTTATGCTTCAGAAGATTGGAGACTGACGAGAATTAGGCTTGGGGTGGATTAATGATTGCGCATTGAGCATTGATTCCCCTATTCAGAATTTTATTGTTGTTAGCAACCATTTGATCAATAAATATGAGAGATGCCCTCTCAAAAAAAAAATGATAATGATAATATTGAGCACTTAACTGTGCATCACACACTGTGTTAAGTCCCTTCCATGATTATCTTTACATGTAGTTATTGAAATGTTAAGAGCACAGATACTGGAGTCTGGCTGCATGAGTCTGAATTCTGGCTCAGTTTACTAAATACATGACACTGGCTAAATGCTTAATTTATCTGTGCCATAGTTTCCTTATCTCCAAAATGGGATGATAATAGTATCTAATTTATAGGTTTATTTCGAGGATTAAAGGAATTAATACATGTAAAGTGCTTAGAACAATGCTTAAACACTTGGTAACAGCTAAATTATTTGATAACATTAGTGTTAAAACTATGAGAAATATATGTCTGTAAAAAGTCATCAAACTGCGTACCCAAATTACTCTATGTATTCTATACCTCAATAAAAAAGGAAAAAAAATAAATAAGTGGTCTACAAAATAAACTATACTGTATGATCCTGAAAAAAAGAAAGGGGGTGTTTCCTAGCTTGGTTTGGGCTCACAATACAGGGACTATGTCAGCATGTTAGGTGCCCCTAAGGCAGCTCCAGGAAGCAGTGGGACCCAGGAGCCCCACACTGGAGGCCTGGATTGTCCCCAGGGGAGGCAGTGGAGAGCTGAGGGGCCTGCAAGTGCCCATCTGTGGAGGGGTCTGAAGTGGCCCTCTTTCCCAGGGCTGTGGCGGCCTTGCCCAGCATGATAAGAAGCAGCTGGAGCCAGAAATGCCATTTGCTGGGCCACTTACTGTGGGCTTAGAGTAAGGCCCCTAAATTCCTCGGGCCTCTGTTTTCCCATTTCCTGTCCCGCAGCTACCTGCTTACCATGGCCAATTTTGTTGATGGATTTCTCCGGAGGGACCAGGAAATTTCCTGTGGCACAAGAACAGTGATGGCAGAATAGCTGGAGTCCACCCTCCCCTGGGCAGCTGGCTTTAGTGCCCACCCAGCCCTGGAGGAATGTCCCTGAGTCCAGCCCTTCCCCACACCCCCAGGGCCCCAGCTCCAAACCTTCTTTGTCAAAAACATCTTTCTCAAAGAAGAATCGAATCTTGTCACCGCTGTTCAAGAAATAGTCTGAGCTACCCTGTGGAGAGGGGACATCAGAGGGACTGAGAGAGCACCCAGGGCTGGAGACGGCCGAGCAAAGAGGGAAGCGGAATCAGATGCTTTCCACCCCTCAGGGCTACAGACCCTGCTGGTACTTCTCAAACTTGTTCACTGAGGCACAGACAGTGAACAGGAACCCAAGACGCCTGGAAGCACAGCCAGAAACTACAAGCATGGGATTTCTTATAATTACAAGGCACCTGACTCTTACACTAGCTACGGTGTGATTCAGAACACAGGCACCAGACTCAAGTAGGCCTGGTGCCCAGGTAGCCTTGGGCCATTTGATTTACCTCTAAAAGGCTCAGTTTCCTCATCTGTAAAAGGGGAATAATAACAGAACCAACCTCCCCCAAATGTTGGAGGCTTCAGGTAGAGGCTGATTCTTATAGCAGTTGAAATCACACCCCCTGGGGCTTGAATCTGGGGCTCAAATCCCAGCTCTGCTTCTGACTGGCTGTGTGACCACAACCACATTACTGAACCTCTGTGGGCTTAGTTTCCTCATAAAATATAGACACTGTTGATGGTACCTCTTTTCATAGGGTGTTGTATAAATTAGGAGTTGGTATATATAAAGCCCTAGAACAGTCCTAGGAATATAAGTGCCATGTGAATATCTGCTTTTATTATTATATTATTACTACCACTGCTAAATAGAAAACAGCAAGGGCAGGGCTAAATTCTCCATAAATATAAGCTACTACAAATTTTTTCCTGTTTTCTTAACAACCTCTCCTTGTTAATTTTAGTATCACATTTTAAATTTCTTGGCACCAGTGCTCCTGGAAGATGTCCTGTTCTCCTTTAGCTTCAGCCACACCTGACAGCCATCACCTCTCTCGCTCACTTCCTGCATGGCCGCATGAGTGAAGCCGAGTGGCAATGACCCCCCGACCTGGGTTGCCCAGGTGGCACAGCCCCACCATCCCTCACGTGTGTACGTGTGTCCTCACATGTGCCTGAGTGGCCCCTCCCCAGCCTTTCCTCCTGAAAACTTAAAAAAGGCTTTTTCTCAACATTCTTAGCTCCTCTGTCCCAGGATCAGGGTGAAGGAAACAAGTCAGGAGAGCATAATTGATAATATTAAAGATAGTGATGCAAAATGTGTCAAAGATTTTAGTTAACTCATGAATTCACAAGAGAACCAGTAAGATACTCAAAGGAGAATTCCTAAACCCACACATACATAGGCAATACCCAGGCTGAAATGAGTTTACAGATCGATCGCAAAGCTGGTGTCTCTCCAGAGCAGGGACTCAGTTCATGTCCCTTTCTATGGACAAGTACCTTGTGTATTATTGCCAGTTCTGTACAACTCAACAGAGTTGTAAAATAAAATAAAATAACTTTCACAACAGAGTTGTGAAAGGTGGAATTAAGCTGGACAGGTCACCCACTGATCTTTTTTTCATCTAAAGCCCATTTTTTTCTTCTAAAGTCTTTCACAATATTAGTAGTGAATACTGAGGGTTTAAGAAGTGCCAGGCACTGTGCTGAGCTCTTTGCAAGCATTAAAAACTAGGATATATTCACTGCTTTGTCCTGTCTGCCCCATATCCTCACTGGGCACAAGATTTGGCCCCCTCCCTTCTCAGAGCCCTTGAGTGACCTCTCTCTGGATACAGGACCCCCATCTCTGCTTTCCCCACCTAGAAGGCTGGAATGTGGCCAAATGAAACCAACTAGTTGAAGGAAATTATCATTCCAACACCCTTTTTCCTTCTGAAGTCCCCTTTTTCTGGGTTGCAGGGCCTCTGTGTTGTAAGTCCTTTTACGCCCACCAGGTGGCAGGAGCTCTTCAGCGTAAGTGAAACCATCAGTAGGCCTGGACCACAGCTTTGAGTGGGGGGCCTCCACCGCAGACAAGACTCATAAATTCAGATTATGAAGGGTTAAGGGCACTGTGTGGGAGCACCCCCAAGTCTGAACTTACCCATCTCAAACTGTATTGAGTCCTGTTGGGTCACCGAGTCGGGGGTGGGAAATAAGCAAAGTTTCTCTTCTCACTGGGGACTGAGATTTATTTACACAGTTGGGCCCATCAGAATCCCTCGACTCATTCTGGGTTGCTGGCCGCAAAGAGGCCCTTTATGGCAGAACTACTGGAGAACAGCAGAGAGCAGTCAACAGCACGGACTTGGTATCAGGACAGATCTGGGTTCAAACCCCTGCTCTAGCAACGATTAACCACAGGGTTTGGGGCGAATGAGCAAAGCCTCATTTTTTCCACCTGTCAAATGGGGGCAGTAATGCCTACCTTGTAAACAAGGACTGAAGGAATTATGAATACAAGAGGCTTAGCCTGGAGCCTGGCGCCTGGAAGGCCAGGCACTGGATTCATCATCAGAATGGGGCCCTAGAACTCCGGGCCCTCCTTTCCAGGCTGTTGTTCTGGCCGGGGCCTGAAGCCCCCAGATCTCATCCTCACTTGCCCCAAGCACCTACGTGGGCTCGCAGCTGCTCCTCTTCCTTTCCAGTGAGAAATTCTGTGCGGCAGTAGAGAGGGACGTCCATCTCAGCCACTATCTCACCAATCCTCCGTTGCATGGCCACACACTCGTCTGCAGAAAAGAATCCTTCCAGCACCAGGAATCCATCCTCCTGGAACTGCAGGCAGGAAGGAGACTCAGATTTCCCCCTGCCCTCAGTCACTCTTTATGAGGACTGATTTGACCCCTCCTCCAAACCTGGCAAGCTGTGTGAAGGCAGGACCAAGTGTCCTGTTCATTGCTCTATCCCCACCCCTGGCCATGGCATCTGGCACGTAGTGAGGAGCAATCTATTAGCTGCTTGTCCAAAGGAAAGCAGTAGGGGAGGTGTCTCCACCCTTCCCCGCCAGTGGGCTTGGGTCACATAGGACTCCAACCTCATTCATTTATTCAATTAAAATTGATTGAGCAGTGTACTAGACCAGTGTACCAGACCCAGTTTTAGGAGCTAGAAATACAGTCATGAGAAAGCCAGCCATGATGCCTGCCCTCCAGAGCTTACAGTCTAGCGAAGGAGACTGACATCAAACAGACCAGCACACAAGTAACATACAACACGAACTGCCGAGTGCAAGGCGGGAGGCGGCAGGTGGAAGAGCTGAGGGCCTCAGTTCTACTGTAAACCACATACATAGGAGAGAGGGGTCTCAGGGCAGCAGCACTGAGCAAGTGACAGTGAAAGGGGACCAGCAGGATAGTGGGAAGAGACAGGGCAGAACATTCCTGACTGAGAGAACAGGGTATGTGAAGCCCCTGAGTGTAGGAGGGACATGAGGGATTGGGACCCAGTGGAGCAGAGCGGGGATGGGGGTAGAAGGGAGGTAGGGGGTGGCAGAGCCCGGCAGGCTTCATCCTGAGTGCAGTGGGCAGCCAGTGAGGAGTTAAGACAGCTTATTCTTATCTGCCTCCAGTCCTCTCATTCTGAGGCTACCGAGAGATAAAGAGAGAGAAAATCTGCATGCTTGCCTGCAGAGCATTATAAAGTCTTAATCTTAACCGTGGCATTGGAAATCACCTCTTGAACCCACTGTGAAGTGTCAGATTTCCAACTAGTGACCCCCCTCCATGCACTCCCTCCCTCCCCCATGGATGCCAGGCCCTGGCTTCCACACAGGGAATGTTGGGACGTTCACAGCCACCCACCATGGGGCCCTCCTTCTTATGTCTCTGAGCCACTCTGCATGATAGAAACTTAATCCTCATATCAGTATCAAGTCGAAAATTGCCTCCTTGGGAACTGGATTATCCACAACCACCTGTGCAGGCCCATGATCCAGGAAACTGGGGGTTCTTGAGATGAGAAGTTGGGGATCAGCACATAGGGGAGCAAAGGGACATGTATGAGGGTATTCACTCAGGCTTGTTTCATGAGAGCGGCACATCGAAAACAATTTAAATGCTCAAGCCAAGGGGATTCACCCAAAGTATGGCTTTTCTATCTGGAACACAACAACAGCTGATAAATAAAACTCATGTGGCATAAAAATATTTACTGACATGGGCTTATGTTCCTGATATATTGTGAGATGGAAAAAAGCCGAATACAAATTACTCTTAGCCATTGTGTGAATTTAGGCAAGTGCATTTTCCCCTTGCTGACCCTCAGACCATCAAATGGGGAGTACAGTCCTGTCTCTTTTATAGAATATACGCAAGCCCTCAGTAAGCGACAGCTATTGTGATGGACCTTTTAAAGATTGTAGGAATGTATACCAAAACATTAAGTCTCAGTGTAGGAATTTATAGGTCTTCTTTGAACTTTTCTGTATTTTTCTGCATTTATCTCTTGGTATCAGGAACAAACAAGTAAGATCATGGCTTTTTTTTAAGTCTGCGTCTCTCTAATTCCAACGAGTTAGCCTTCAGTGTTTGAACGCACTTGGACTCCGCCGTCCAACAGGGTGGGGGTGGGGTCCGCCTCTCGCTGACCCCGCCCCCCGGACGCTGGCCCCGCCCCCTCCCGGACACTGGCCCCGTCCCCGCTGGCCGGGCCTGGTCTGGCTGATCCCCGGGTTCATCTCGGGGTGCGTGTCTCGCATACACGTTCCCGCCCTGTCCCGGTCCTGTGGCCTGGACTCCCCGGGCTTTATGTGCAGTAGTTAGGGTTTTTGGTTGGGGACCGACCACTCTGGGCTTCATTTCCTCTTCTGAAAAATGGCAGGGGGTGGGGTTGAGTTCCTGGGGAGTACTGGCAGTCCGGTTGGGTCCCCCACACTTACCTGACCCTCCCGGTCCCCACCTGCAGGTTCCTACCTTCTGGAGCTGGGAGGGGCTCAGGCAGGCCATGGTCTCGGGGCAGGGCACACAAGTGGCTCTGTGCGCTCCGCCCAAGGCTGGCGAGCAGGGAGTTCTGGAGGGAAGAGCGGCGCGGGGCCCGGAAGCCAGGCAGGACTTAACCCCTCCCTACCCTGAGAAAGCCAATCCCGGCCCCCTGGGCGCACACACACAGACCGACCTGGGCCCCAGTCCTCCCCACCCTCTCACTTCTGATCCTGGATGGGGCCTTTGCCTCACGCCAGCTCCACACCCTGGGGCCAACCTCCCAGCTAATCCAGGGTTAGCCTTTCCTGATCTGTCATGGTTTTTAACTGCTCCCTCCTGGTTTCTTTCCAGAAACCACTCCTGTCTGGCTGCTTATCAGGTGCCCAGAGGCTGTATTCCGAGAGTCCAGGAGTGCCAGGGCAAAGAAGTTGGATGGGCAGTAGGTCCCAGCCCAGGTGCTGTGACTCTGTGACCTCTGAGGATCAGCAGCCCCTCTCTGGGCCTCAAGTGAGGATTAAAGCCCTAGCCACCAGCATCAACATCTGGGTGGGAGATTGCTGGGTGGGCCTGGGGAACATACACATCGGACCGGTTTGAGTGGCTTTGCATTCCGAAGGTGGGAGAGGTCCTCATAAAACTGCCTGGGCCCTTGCTGGCTCTGATCCCCGGGAACGCTCTAGGTCCTGGGAGGATTATGGAAGAGAGTACAGATCTGTCTGCAGCTCAGAGGGAGGCAGCACGTAAGGGGGATCTTAAAAAGGGAAAGGGGTGGGGGGGGGGCTGGGTCTTCAGAATGACAGAGGGAAACCACAGTCCCTGTTCCCCACCCCCCAGTCCGGGCTGGTTGGCGTCTCCAGCCAGGCTGGCACAGAGAAGGCCAGCAGGCAGAAGAGCACATACACACCCACCCTTTAGCGGCCTTGCTCAGCCGCTGACTGGGCCATTCTGTCTGCAGCTTTTGAAAAGCAGCCACTGGCCTTCCCTGAAATGACACTCTCTGAATAGCAAAGGGACAGAGTGTCTTGGGAGTGAGCTCAGGGGACACAGCTCAGCCGTCAGGAGCCTTGACCCCAAGTCAAGTCGTGTTTTCTGGGCCATGGCACTGGGAATAGCTGGTTGGTCCCAGCTTCCTGAGGCCTGGGGGAGGAATGAGCCCAGGCAGCTCCTTTCGCTGGAGAGAGAAGGGAGAAGAGTTTCAGAGGGATCAGGCTGGGTGAGGGCTGGAAATACAGGGGCAGGGTGTGTTCCCAGCTCTCCTGGCCCCCTCTGAGGCAGTCGCCCAACAAGCACAGAGGTACCTACCATGTGCCAGGAGTAAGCACAGTGAGGGTCCTGTTGAGCATGGTTAAGCAAGTCCCCTGGGAACCCCACCAAAGGCTGGTAGTGGAGGTTCAGTAAGGCAGACTGGGTTTGAGTGCCCACTGGGGCCTTGCTTTCTCTATTTGTAATTGGGGACAACCTAAGTCCCTCTTGTAGGGAGGAAGATGATTGTTTACTACTGATCAAGAGCTTGGCACGGGGCTGGCACTTCCTAAGTGCCCACCAGCTATTCACCAAAGGTTAGCAGGAGCCATGCTCAGTGAAATGTTTTTCCCCCAACTTTTCCAAACTGCTGTTGCAGAGAAAAGACCACTATGGCTCGAAGCAGAGTGGGTAGTCCTCGGTGGGGAGGGGAGGGGCTGGGCCTGCCATGATTTGCTCATTCATTCTGACTGGGCTTTGGGAAGTGGTTGGGCAGTGTTTGCACATTTTTTCCAAAAGCTAACGAGCTCCAGTTCTGACACTGTGCTCCAGGCCCTGGGCGGCCCCAAGGCTGGGATGGGGGAGTAGGAGTTCCTAGGGTGCTACCAGACCAGGCAGGAGGGGAAGACCGCTGTAGAGACACTGGAGAGTCTTGGGGATGGGGGGTGGGGGGAAGCCCGGCTGCTCAGTCCTGAGGCCACCTGCAGGGATCAGAGATCCATGGAGGGAGGAAGGGCGGACTCTGGCCTGTTCAGAGGGGGTGCCCAAACAGCAGCTAAGGCCTCATCTTAAGATCAAGGTCAGACACAATGGCCTTTCTTCACCCAAAGACCCCAGCCCCCATCACACCAGCACAACCTCACTGGTCCAGGAGGAAGATACCATTTATTGGATAATAGGACCAGGCCCTCCGCTGAAAACTCCACCTTCCTGCATAAATATCGAAAGGAAGCCTTAGAACAATGCTGCAAGGTTGCCAACAGCATCCTGATTTTACAAATACGGAAACTGAGGCCCTCTATCAAATAAATAGCAGAGCTAGGATCTGAAGGCAGCTCTGCCCATCTTGCTGAGCCTCTACCCTTGATCCCAGCACCTTCAGCAGGTCCCCAAAGGGGCTGGAGTGGTCAGGCCCTCCTCTGCCGACTCAGCCCCACCTCTGCAGAACCCGGGAGAATGGCTGTTGGAATTAACAAGGGACGGATGAGAACATGGAGTGGCAATGCCTGCCGCACAGGGAGGGAAGGGATCTGCCCAGCTTCACGCAGGGGATGACAATTCCTGGCTCTCATTTCAGTGCCCTCCCTCCGCTGACCTATCACAGGATGGACCACCCACAGCCACTCGGCCCACTAGGGAACGTGCTAGCTGTGGATTCCTGGCCAGGCCCACACCTGACACATAGCAGACGCTCTGTCAGCTCGCAGCTGGTAGCTGCCTCCAAGGAGCTCACCATTCCACAGGGCAGGAAAAGGAGCAGAGGTAACTATCGTCTAGGTGCCCAATTAATGGTCGCAACACCAATTAGTCTACAGGGCCCAGTGGGCCTCAGAGAACTGCGGGAACGACATGGAGACCTTGCAGGGTTACTTTGAGATTTATTTGCTATTTGGACTGAGTCTACCAGTTCAGACCCACGTGTAACGGATTGCTGCACGGTTATCAGAGGCTAGTGTGCATTATTTCTGAAGATTACATCCAATGACACAACGCAGAAACACACAAGGACAGACAGTGGACATAATCATTAAGACAAGAGACGCTAAAAGGTGCCTTAGTGTCCGAGGGATTGATCTAAGGCGGGGACACTTCTAAGGAGGGGACCTCAGTGACAGATCTAAAGTGAGGTGGCGTTCTGCCATCAGGCGCTGAGTGGGTTGTGTGTGCCAGGTGCCTGGGACAGAAACTGGAACCAAAACCTGGGGAGACTGCCCTCCTAGCGGTGACTTCCCCACCTGTGATCCCACCTCCAAGTATCTGTTCTGAAGGATAGGGTGCGGACAGGGCTGACGTGAGCAACTGAGGCTGGTGCTGGCATTGGGCAAACTCATGACACAAGAGGTGGGAAAGCTGAGCCTGGGTGAGGTAGCTCCTCTCGGCTCCTGAACACTGACGGGGGACAGGGAAGATGGAGCACCGTTCATCCGGGGATTAGCCAACCCAGAATCTCCTCCCTTCTTGGCAGCTCCAGAACATTCCCTTTGGCCAATAGCCACAGAAATGAGTGCCTGCCAAGACACATGGAGGAGAAAGGAAACAAGACGCAAAAACAAAACAAAACAAAACAATCCCTGCCCCAGGAGAGGAAAGGAACACACAGAGCTCCCGGACCGTGGTCACACCAGATCAGAAGACATCCTGCGGCCCACACTCCAGGGGCAGGAAGCCGGCGTCCTGCTGCTCTGCTCAAGGGAAACTACCACCTGCCCTGAGACCCCCACTCACTGGCCTTTAGTGTCTTTTTTTTTTTTTTTAAAGTTTTTCTTTTTCATACCCAAGCCATCAATTTTCAATGCTTAAAAAAAAATTCTTTACAAAAAAAAAATCTAAAATTGATGAGGCAAGCCCCAGGCCTAGCCTTTCCACCTGGGGGCCTTTCTCCCACAGGCCATGGCAGCAGAGGCCAGCCTGGTACCACAAGGGCACCGTCCACAGCCGGTTCCCCTGGACTGCTCCGCTCCAGTCAGGGGAAGGGGAGGCACTAAATGCCGGCAGCATCCCCTAAAAAGGGAAAGGAAACATAGCCTACCCTTCCTGAAACACTCCCATCTGAGATGAGCTTTCTCGGGAATGTATAAGTTACCTGGAGGGAGGGGGCGGGAGGTGGAGAAAATAAATACCAGAAGCTAAGAAAGCATCCCGGGACCTCCGATGTCAGCTCAGCCTCTGGGGCAGACACAGCCTCCAGGGAGGAGGCCCTGATTGTCCAAATACTGCGCTCTGAGACAGACCACAGGTCTCTCACGTCCCCACAGGCGCCCGCCCTGGGGGCCAGGAGTCTCGGAGGGAAAAGGGGCCAGCCCCTCAGGTACTGTCCTGTCGCTCAGCCCGGCTGGTTGTCCTGGGGTTTCTGGGTCCGCGGGCCGAGGACCCGCAGTGGCCACATGTGCAGCTGCCCGCCAGGGCTCAGGCCTGCTCCTTGTCCGCCCGCCAGAGCCGGTCCTTCACCTCGGGCGGCAGTGTGTTGAACAGGTCCTCCTCCACCACAAGGCCGCTGCGCTTCAGCAGCGGGCACTCGCCCAGCTCCACGGGCAGGCACTCCAGCCGGTTGCCCCGCAGCTCAATCTGGGTCAGGTTGGTCAGCTCGCCCACCCGTGAGGGCAGTGACTGCAGCACGTTGTTGCCCAGGTGCAGGGTCCGCAGCTTCCGGCACTGAAAAAGCTCTGGGGGGAGCACCTCGATCTGCAGGGGAAGGAGCACAGGGCCACAGTGAGATGGGTACAGCTTAGACCTGGGGCGTCTGGGCCCAAGGCCCCCTTCCCTTAGGCACCAGCACCTTCTCTGACGCCCATTTCAGTATCCCCAGACCCCAAGGACCAGCAGAGTTGGGCCAAAGTCTGGCTAATTTCCACATGTACTTCAAGTCTCAGCTCTGTAATCACTTCCTCCAGGAAGCCTTCCCTTACCTCCTGGGTAACCTATGGCACACATACCCACCAGGCAGCACTGAGCCCTCCATGGTGAAAATGCCTAGTCACCTGTCACCCTGAGACTGTGGACTATGAGAGGGCAGAACTGTTGCTTCCCGCCGTCTCCCAGCACCTGGCACCCTACAGAGCTGTATCACACTAGCCAGCTACCAGCAATGCCACCTCCCCCTCCCCCACTCAGAGCTCACCCGCAGGCAGGTGAGCTGCCCCCCGCTGGTCCTGCTGGATTTAAGAACCATTTATGAAAGCAGAGCAGCACATGAGAAAATTCCACGCCTTTCGCTGTTGTTAAGAACTGGGGAGAGCTGGCCAACAGGGGTGAATCCCGGCTGTGCTACCTCCTGCAGTCAAGTCACAGGCTGATCATGAATGCAGGCAGCCCAGTAACGGCCTTTTGGAATCTGCCCTCCTTCCGATTTTACAAAATCTGAATAATGGGCAACCCCACAGGCAGCTTACTAGACGGTTGGCTTGCTCTGAGCGCCAACACTATTAACTCATTTAAAGCTCAGAACTACCTGTGAATACGCTGTAAACACTCTCTCCATTTTACAGATGGGATGACTGAGGCCCTGAAGAAGCTAACTTGCCCAGCGGTTCACAGCTGGAAAGTGGTGGAACCAAGACTTGCACCCAGTTCAGTAGCCAAGACTCTGCTAACTGTGCACACCTTTGGTTGAGCAAGGAGCAAACACTGAGGCCCAGGTGCAGACATGCCACGGCTCCCAGGACACAGGCAGGGCTCCGGAACAGCCAGCTTCTTCCCTGCCCTTCTGTGAGCAATCATGGGTTCTTATTGTCCCCATTTGTCTGTCCTAAAACAACCTCCTTCTGATATGATGGGCAGGAGGGACCCCACCAGCAGGGCAGGAGCCAGGAGACGTGTGTCCCGCTCCCACATGAGGATGACAGGGAGACAGTACAATAATTTCTGTTGCTGTCTCCATTTCCTGCTAAGGAGGGGAAATGCAACATGTCCACGGCTGCAGAACCAGCAAGCGTCAAGGGAGCACGTAAGCCTTGCTTCCTCTGATTCAGAGCCTCTGCTGTGTTCCCATTCTGCCAAACTCGGTGCTCACAGGGAGGTCCCTTTCCCTCCCTGGGCCGCGGTTTTCCCATCTGTAGAATTATAGGGTTGGGCTAGAATGCCTCTCAGCTCACATGTTCTGTGGCTAAGAACCCCTGGGCAAACACGGGCCTCAGCCTCGTGGGCCCTGGCTCTCTCCAGGCATTTTTGGAAGAGGACCCCTGTTCTGGGTGAGGAACTTGGCCCTCCCGGCAGGGAAGCCAGTGTGGCCGCGGCCAGGCAGAGGCGATGCCATGGGGGACAATGTGGGCGTTTACAAGAAACTCCTGCCCTGGACCTCCGATTCTGCCACTGTTGTCCCCAGCGGTCAGGAATGAGGCAGAGGTCAGCAGAGCTGAAGGTCAGGGACAGGAAGGTGAGAGGAAGGACACATGGGACATGGGCTCTGGCAGGACTGAGGGGCCAGAGCCCCCCAGAAACCCCACTCCCACCGCAGTGGCCTCCCTGGATGACACAGGCAGGGTCAGGAAAGGCTCAGACCAGTGAGTGGCCACACTGGGGTTCACACCTCCCCGATATCCCCCGTCCCAGCTAGAGCACGCTCTCCAGGCCCCACAGACAGGAAGAAATGGACGGACACACACACACACACACACACACACACACACACACCCTTCAGACTCGACCTTCCACCCCCCCACACACCCTTCAGACTCGACCTTACACACACACACACACACCCTTCAGACTTGACCTTACACACACACACACACACACACACACCCTTCAGACTCGACCACACATACAAACACACGCACACACACCCTTCAGACTCGACCTTACACACACACACCCTTCAAACTTGACCTTACACACACACACACACACACACACACACACACACACACACACACACACCCTTCAGACTCGACCTTCCTCCCAGAGGGCACTCAGCTGCTGAAGGCTTGAAGGTGTTGCCATCACCCCAAAACCCCCTGGCCACCTCCTCGGGGGCCTCAATGGCTCCCACAGCAGCACTGCCATGGCCTCAAGTCTCCCTGGTCTTTGAGGTAAAGACAACCCTCATAGGAGCCTCTGGAGCTGCTCCGTGGTTCTCCCATCCTCCTGACAAACCATCTGCGAAGACGCCATCTCTCCTCAGCCCTTGGTCATCTGGTTTCTGGCCCATCCACCCTTGAGACTATCTGGCCACAGTTACCAAACATCGCTCTAGTCCACGCACCTCAATCCGTTCTCCTTTCCTGCCCCCCCTGTGCTGTGAGCCCCTGTGCTCCTGCCTGGCCTTGCTCTCCCACCCTGCCTCCCAAAGGCTCCAGCCAGACTCCCTCCATCCTCTGCCCTGGTGGTCTTGTCAAGGACCCTCTTTACCCATGAGCCTCTTTGAGCTTCAGGCTGACTCAATCTGGTCCCTGGGATGTCCCAGGGGCCCCAGACACCCACCACAAGGTAGGCCCTCTCCTCTGAAAACCTGTGCCCATGCCTGTCTCCTCGCCTTCCCAGGAAGCCAAGTGACAAAACTCATCACCTCAGACGTTTCCCTCTCTCCACTGTCCGACCCCAACTCATGTCCTGCAGACTCCACCTCCAAGTCTCCCCCAAACCCACCCAGGTCTCCCCATCCCTGGCAGCTCTGCCAGCCCAGGCTTCACCCCCAGCCTGATGGCTGCACGCGGCCTTTCATCAACTCTTCCCCCTCCAGCCCACCCGCGCTGCAGCAAGGGCAATCTTTCTGAGCTGTAAGTCAGTTCATTCCTTCACCCGTTCAATCATTGGGAATTTGGTGAACATCGGCTGCAAGTCAGGCATTGAACCTAAGAGCCGAGGTCCCTGCCGTCACCCTAGGGCCTGGCAAGGGCCACGGACCAAAACAAGTCAAGATATGAAACAAAGGCAGATATGAGCAGAGAATGGGATGCTCCCGTCAGCCCTGGCCTCTGGGGACAGTCCAAACTCCAGAGGCAGCTCAGCTCCGCACTCCACCCCCACCGGCTTTCAGTTCCTTATGGATAGAAACTACCAGAAGAATCTCCCTTTCCTCTTTGCCTGGCTAACTCCTCAGCCTTCAGAGCCACGTGAGGTCCCTTCCTCTAGGAGGCCCGCCTGCTCCGGGGTAAGCCGGGGCTATGGCCACTCCTCAATGTGCAGGAGCCTCATGCCCCAAGGAGCTCTTTGTGCTATGTGCACTGCTGGTCACCTGCCTTTCCTCAGGATGGGTGGCGGTGGGCCCTGTTTGTCCCTGTGTTACTCCGAAGTGCCTTACTCCACACCAGGAATGTTCAGAAAACACTTGCCAAATCAATGATTAAACGGGTGAGTGGATGGATAATTCCTGTCTTACCAAGCTATCTGTTCACATGAGTTTCAACCTGAAAAATAGCAATCAAGTGCCTGAGCCAGGCCACACCCACCCCTCCCTGTCCAGCCGGAGCCCATGGTGGCCCACAAGGAACCACCAGGCCCAGAGGGAGGAAGAAGGGGCTCCAGCATAGAAGGAGGGCCTAGGATTGTCCCAAGTGAACTTTTTTCCCTATCAAGCCTCTGGCACCCCAGGAGGGTGGAGACAGGATGTGATTAAGCAGTGTGCTAAAAGGGTGTCCAGAGGGTCTCCTTGGGTATGGCATGCTTGCCACCAGCTCCTTTCCCGAGGGTGACCTCAGCCGACAGGCATTACCTACCAGGCATGCTTGGGTGAGGAGCTGGGGGTGGGCGACAGAACAGGGAGCCCGGCTGGACGCCACTGGGTGGGAGGGCCCATCAAGCCCGTATGCCCTCACAGCTCCCAGGACAGACCAGCCATCACAAGGGGTCACGGGATGCCCAAGTGTGACCCAACTCCAGGGGCAATCTAGCTCCGCCCTGGGGCAGCCACTGGGTCCTGTCTGGCTGGGTCTGTCCAGTGCTCCCCAAACGCTGTTTCCCCTCGGGAGCCCAGTTCCTCCCCGGGGGCAGATTCTCCCGAGTGCAGCAATCCAGAATCGCATTTTGCCCTTGCACACTCACACATGAGTGCATAAGCGTAATTTGGGGGCAGGGGTTGGGGGGAGATAGGATTTGTCACAGTCTCTGATACAGAGAGGAGACAGGCTGGTTTGCAGTAAGAGGGGCTTCGGGGAGAGGCAAGGGGAGGTCAGGTCTGGACTCCAATCTGAGGGATGCTGGCGAAGGTCTGCCCTTTCCCGGGGCATTTCAGGGGCCTCCTGCCTGTGTCTGAGGCAGCTGGACACGGCTCCAGCCCAGAGCACTCAGCAGGCTGCCGGGAGATGCTGCCCAGCACAAGGCTGACACAGAGCAAGCACTCCATCAGCCAGCATGGCTGCTTCGTGCCCCTGCCTGCGATGGAGGCACAAAGACGGCTGAATCCAGTCTCCCCTCAGTCTCCAGACCCTGGCCCCGGGCTGCCACCACCATCCACCTCCCCGTGCGAGTATCCATCCTGAACGCAGGGACCAGGGAGACTTCTTTTTTCCAGTGCCAACCACCCCGCAGGTCCCCAGGAAAGGTGGGCACGGGAAGGTCCCCCCAGTAGCTGCAGCTGTGCTTCCATGGCAGAAGCCAGACCACTGAGCCACAGGAGCACCCTGCCCTTACCCTCCCCTGCCTGTCTCCGCGGAGGGGACCCTGGGTGGGCGGCTTCCTCACCAGGCAAGGGGCAGGCTCACAAGGCCTGCCAATGGTCTCAAGTGTGTCTCCAGGGTGTGGCCTCCCACACTGCCAGCCCAGCCCACAATGGTTTGCACAATTTCCTCTCCAGAAAGGCAGGTGTGACAAGTCAGCACCAACTAAGCCCAACTCTGCCCTCCACTAACCCTGAAATGCAGAGGGGCAAGGGGTGTGGGTAGCACTAGTTGTGGAGACTGCTTGGCTTCACCTCAGCAAGCATGAGTCACCCAAAGTTTCTGTACCCAGTGGACCCCCGATTGGCCCCTCGGCTCCAAATCTGGTCCAGGACAAGCTGAGCAAGCTCCAGGCTCCATTCATAAGCTCCAGGCTAAGTCCTACCCCCCACAATGCAGCCTCCTGCCCATGCTCCCCACCAGCCTACAAGGAACCCACCCAAGGTCACCCTACTATCCCACACCAACCCTCCTAGCAGGAGACCTCTGCAGCATTCACTGGCAAGGACAGGCTCCCAGCCCCAGAGATCCCTACACAGCAGGTCTGGAGTGGGGCCCAGGAGTCTGTGTGTTTAAAGCTCCTCCTGGGAGGCTCTGGGGACTGCAGGTGAGGACTCCAAACGCAGGGGAAGCAGTCTTCCCAGAGGCACTGGGCCTCTGCCAGGCACCTTACCCGGTTGGCCGTGACAGCCAGATTCTGGAGGTTCTGCAGGAGGCCAATGTCGGCGGGGAGGAGGGTGAGGTTGTTGTGGCTGAGGTCCAGGTAGCGCAGCTTGCGGCAGTAGAAGAGCTGGGTGGGGATCTTCTCAATCTTGTTGCGGTTCAGATAGAGGCGCTCAAGGTTGGTGAGGTTGCCGATCTGGATGGGGATGTAGGCGATGTGGTTGTACCACAGCTTAAGGCAGGTTAGACGGTGCAGGTGCTGGAAGCTGATGATCTCCTCGATGGTCTTGAGGTTGTTGTCCTTGAGGTCGATCTCCTGCAGGTTGTGGAGGCTGAAGATGGAGTGGGGGATGCGCTCCAGGTCACAGCGGATCAGCTCCAGCTCGGTCAGATTCACCATCTTCTTGAGGCTGTTGAGGACGATGAGCTTGGTGCCCTCGTTGTTGATGGACAGCTTCTGCAGGTGCACGCCCACGTCGGTGACCACCTGCGGCAGCTTGCTCAGGTTGCTCTTGAGCCGCAGCACCTTGAGGCGCTTGAGCTCGCGCAGCCCGTCAATCACAATGTAGCGGTTGTTCTCCGCGCTCAGGTTGCCTGTCAGGTGCAGTTCCTCCAAGGTCTTCAGGCTGTAGATCCACAGCGGGATCTCCTTGATGTCCGTGAACTTGATGTGCAGTGCGCGCAGGTTCTCGCGCAGGAAGGCCAGGGCGGGCGCCTCGATCTTGGCCGCCGTGTGGTACAGCCACAGCTCCTTGAGGCCCGTGAGCTGGGCGATGCTGGGTGGGATGGTCACGTCGGGGATCAGCTCCAGCTTCAGAACCTCCAGCTCCACCAGGTCAAACACAGTGTCGGGGATGCCGCTGAGCATGAACAGGTGCAGCTCCAGCTTGTCCTGTGCGTTCTTGGTGAGCCGCTGCCGCAGCTTGTCCAGTGTCCACTCGTTGTTCAGGTTCAGCTGCCGCAGCTTGTTCTCACTCACCTCTGACAGGAAGACGGCAAAGCGCTTTGAGTAGAGTGGGTCGTACTGGTCGATGAGATGCAGCATGAAGGCGAAGTCGTTCTTGACGTCAGGGATGTCACTGTAGCTGCTCTCCTCCCGGATCGACTCGAACGAGTACTTCTTGAGCGAGCGCCGCAGCATCCACCACAGCGTGTACATGCAGATGAGGCCGTAGAAGATGACCAGGCTGATGTAGAAGGACGCCAGGATCTTGAAGAGAGTGGCCAGTGGGTGGGCGCACCGGTAGGTGCGGTAGCCTGTCAGGCTCTCTATGTCCACGGTGCAGTCCACGTCGAACTTGATGTTGTGCACGTAGTAGACGGTGTAGCAGATGATGAGGATGAACTTGATCACCTTGATGATGGTCTGCCGCATGTAGAGACGGTACACGATGTCCCCCTCCTCCACGTGGGTCCGAAACTTCTTCACCTTCTCAAACAGTGCCTTGGCCTGCTCCCCCTCCTTCTTATCCAGCACACCTGTCTCCGAGCGGTCCACGATGCCCTGCTCGATACGGGACTTGGTCCGCTGCAGCATGGGCACAGTGGCCTCCACGTCCTCGCTGACCGTCGATGACTTCTTGTCCATGGAGCCATTCATCTTGCTGAAGGCCGGCTTGGGGTCACTCTCCTCTACCACTGTCTCTGACAGGGCCCGCGTGGTCCAAGGGGAGTCAAAGCACTTGAGCAGGATAGACACAAAGTGCTCCAGCTTCGAGCTGGTGCGTGGGAACTTAAACCAGAAGTTGCTGCAGGCCAGGAAGATGAGCGTGTGCAGAAGCACCAGGTAGGGGAAGTACTTGGCAAACCAGTGCAGGCGGTTCTCATAGCACACGGCATCCACATAATTGTACTGGTGCCGGTCCAGGTCGTACTTGATGCCCGTGGGGCCTGCCTCAGGGGGTGGCAGGATCGTGGAGTTTGGGTACGTGGGCTCTGGGCCAGAAGCAGCCCAGCCCCGGAACGAGTCGTTACAGGAGTCCTTGGTGACCCACTTACAAGGCAGGCAGATCATCTTGTCCTGGGTGACCTGCAGCGTGCCTCCAAAGACTGCAATCATCAGCATGACGATGGAGATGTAGTCAGTGAACACATCCCACCACGGCTTCAGGATCCGGTAGGCGGGCTGCGTGTCCGCAAAGTAGCGGAGCTCTGTCACCGGAATCATGGTTCAATCTGAAAGGGACCCACAGCGGGGGGTTACTTCAGGCGGCCTGGCTTTCTGGGACCGAGGGATCAGGGGAAGCAGACAGTGCTCCACTACCCAAAACTGCACTGAGTCTGGTTGGAAGTCACAGCCTTGCATGCACAGGCAGCCCGAGGACGGGTCCTTCTCCAGAAACCATGTGGTCACTGGGTGGCTGGGAAGCCAGAGCAGGGGAGGGCAGGTGGCCTCCCCCTTTAACAGAAGGGAGACTGAGCACCGAGGTCAGGGCCTGCACTGCCAGATCGCTAACGTGGCCTCCACAGCGGCATGCCCCTGCCTTCCAGCAAGAGCACCTGGGAATTCCTCTTTAGACCCCAGCCTATTAATGACGAGACTGACCGAAGGGACTCATTGAGAACTCCCATTCACTTGGAACTCGTTGCCTTGAAGTGTGCTGGTGGCCTGAAGAGATTTATGTGAAGCGTGAGAGAAGCCAAATGCAGAAGAGGGGGCTTAATATGAACTCACTTTTGTGAAACAAAAAGGGAAGTTTAAAAAATTCTACATGCGTGCAGGCGGTTTGTGACGGGGCAGGATGTTGTCCACATAGGCGTCTGGGAGCATGGGAAGGACACACACGGGAGGTGTGATGGTGGGCTCCTGGGTACAAGGTCACATAACGACAGGAGGACAAGAAAACAAGACCCCAAGCCGGAGGACAGGATCCCAGCTGCATAAACACAGCAGCAGAAGGAGGCGTCTGGAGAGTCCCGTAGAGCCTGGGAATCTGATTTTAACATGTGACATCAGTGACACTGGTGACTGGCTGTGTTTGGGAAACACTGGATAAGAAGCCTCTTTCAGGAAATGCAGCCAGCAACAGGGAGGAAGCTTGCAACCGAATCAGTGTGCCGAAGGGATCCTGTCATCAGGTTGTGCAGGGCCACCCTGCATCACATGTTGCTCTTTTAATGAACAGTCTTAAGACTGTAACAAGATAGAAAAGATACTAGGTATTCACTGGAAAACTGGGAAAATACAAAAAAGCATGAGAATAAAAAAAATCCCCTGGGAGAACACTGCCCAGGGTTACCCACTGATAACTTCAACTGAGTGATAACTTTCCAGTCCTATCTGTGTATTTTTTTTTAAATAAAATTGTGATTTTACTTTACTCCCTATTTTCTAATCTAGAATCTAGACTTTAAATTATAGTTGAAATACCTGGATTTTAACAAATGGGTCTGTTTTCCTTGGTAGAAGAACAAGGGAGCTGAGGTTATGCGGCTGGGCCACCTTATTTTGATTACTGAAAATACTAACACCAGTAGAGAACCCATGGTAAAACGGCCTCTGTGGAGGCCAAATGCTTCCTGTCCCGTCTTCCGAGAGCATGCTGGGGTGGGGGCGGGGAACAGGACTAAAGCCAGCCAGGACCCTGTGAGGGAACTGGAGCACTTTACAGACAGACGTGTACCAGGCCCCGGCCTGGCCCTCACCATGGCATCTGCCTCGTGGAATCCCCTCAGTGCCCAGAGGGCCTCTCTTCGGCCCCATTCCACAGACAGGGAACTAAGGTTTGGGGAGGTAAAGTCTGCTGCCCACCATCACTCTACTACTCGGCAGATCTGAGATGAAACCCAGCCTGCCCCTCCACCTCCTCACCACATTAGCTCGCTGCCCCTGACTGCCGTGAGGGCCAAGAATCAGCCCAGGAGTCCTGCTTCCCCTGCCCCCAGAGTTCCCTGGGCTCAGCCCTCCTGGGGAGGCCACGACTCATGAGCCAGGGTGAGCGAGTGCCTGGCCACAGGAAGGCCCGGGCCCTCTGAAGACCAGCTGGCTGCTCAGGCCACCCGCACTCCTGGGGAAGCGGGACTCCACAGAGGAGGGCCTGCTGAATCAGCCAGCCAGCCTCAAGCTGGAAGACATCAGGACACTCGTCCCTCCCTTCCTGGCTCCCCGCGTCCACACCCAGGGAGGCGCCCGAAGACTGGGGACCGGAAGGGAGGAGGGGCCTAAGGGGTGCAGGAGCCTGCCCCCGCAAGAGTCCAGAACGCGACTGCCAGAGCAGGATGCGAGACGCCGGGGGAGGGCGGTTTGGGACCCGGCAGGATGTGGTTCCAGCCTTACTTCAAGAGGGAAGAGGGTGTGCAGACCCACTGGAGGCGCCCAGCTTCTGGGTGACGAGCTGCCTCAGGGCCCTTGCTGGCCCGGGGCTTCACCTGTTGCCTTCCTGACCTCTGGTCCTGAGGCAGGAGCAGCTGACCGCTGCTGACAGCTGAGGGAACTGGCGGCTCAGAGCGGCAGGAAACGGTCCAGTCCATACGGTATATTTGGCTCTTACCACCCCCCCACCCTGACACCTGGAACTCTCCGGCCAGCCCTTGGCTTGGTCCCCTGAGGGCAATAAAAGTGACCAAGGTGCACCCCACGCCTCAGGGGCCTTTCAGTCCAGTGTGAACATGTGGGGAATGGGGGAGGCAGAAATGTCTGAGCAACCAGACCCTGTGTCAGGGCAGAGGACAGCCATGGTCACAGCAGGAACCTCCCAGAGGGCACAGTCGTGCCAGTCCCTGAGGCTCCCGCAGTGTCCTTAGCTCAGGGATGTTTCCCCCCCCCCATTGTACAAAGGACACCAGGTGTTTTGAGCACACAGAAGAGGATATTCCCTGACAAGGGCAGGCGCTCAATGAATTCAGAGCGTCTCAAGAGGGCGCCTGATCGGGGCCAGGACAGAGTGGGGCGCAGTGAGGCGCACGGCCCTGGGAGTGCGGTGGAGGCGGGCAGCAGCAGGGTCAGGTAGATGCGAGCTGGTACCTCTCAGGCACAGGGAGGAGGAAGCAGCGGCCTCGGCCCTCCCTACCCCGCCCAGCCCCAAGAGCCCTGGGGAAGGCGACTGCCCCCAGGTAGGGACCTGCCGGGAAGTTGGGTGATTCAGGGTGAGTAACCACCACAGGGGAGCAGCTTCCCATTCTCAGGCTGACAACTAAGTGCGAAGCCCAGTGTCCTCACAAGCCCTGGAGATGCCCATGGTTTTGGCACTCACCTAATTTTCCCCACATTTTTTTTATTGTGGTAAAATACTGGTAACATAAAAGCTACCATTTTAACTATTTTTAGGTGTACAGCTCAGTGGCATTAAATACATTGATGCTGTTGTGTGAACCATCCCCACCGCCCAGCTCCATAACTCTTCTCACCTTGCAAAACTGAAACTGTGGGCACTAAACAACTCCCCACTCCCCCGGCCCGCATTCTCCTTCCTGTCTCTATGATTTGACTCCTCTAGGGACCTCATTTAAGGAGAAGCACACAACATTTGTCCTTTTGTGACTGGCTTATTTCACTTAACAGAATATCCTCGAGGTTTATCCATGTTGTAGCTCATGTCAGAATGTACTTCCTTTTTAAGGCTGGATAATACTCATGCCCACTTTACAGACAGGGAAACCAAGGNTCCCTGGATGACACAGGCAGGGTCAGGAAAGGCTCAGACCAGTGAGTGGCCACACTGGGGTTCACACCTCCCCGATATCCCCCGTCCCAGCTAGAGCACGCTCTCCAGGCCCCACAGACAGGAAGAAATGGACGGACACACACACACACACACACACACACACACACACACCCTTCAGACTCGACCTTCCACCCCCCCACACACCCTTCAGACTCGACCTTACACACACACACACACACCCTTCAGACTTGACCTTACACACACACACACACACACACACCCTTCAGACTCGACCACACATACAAACACACGCACACACACCCTTCAGACTCGACCTTACACACACACACCCTTCAAACTTGACCTTACACACACACACACACACACACACACACACACACACACACACACACACCCTTCAGACTCGACCTTCCTCCCAGAGGGCACTCAGCTGCTGAAGGCTTGAAGGTGTTGCCATCACCCCAAAACCCCCTGGCCACCTCCTCGGGGGCCTCAATGGCTCCCACAGCAGCACTGCCATGGCCTCAAGTCTCCCTGGTCTTTGAGGTAAAGACAACCCTCATAGGAGCCTCTGGAGCTGCTCCGTGGTTCTCCCATCCTCCTGACAAACCATCTGCGAAGACGCCATCTCTCCTCAGCCCTTGGTCATCTGGTTTCTGGCCCATCCACCCTTGAGACTATCTGGCCACAGTTACCAAACATCGCTCTAGTCCACGCACCTCAATCCGTTCTCCTTTCCTGCCCCCCCTGTGCTGTGAGCCCCTGTGCTCCTGCCTGGCCTTGCTCTCCCACCCTGCCTCCCAAAGGCTCCAGCCAGACTCCCTCCATCCTCTGCCCTGGTGGTCTTGTCAAGGACCCTCTTTACCCATGAGCCTCTTTGAGCTTCAGGCTGACTCAATCTGGTCCCTGGGATGTCCCAGGGGCCCCAGACACCCACCACAAGGTAGGCCCTCTCCTCTGAAAACCTGTGCCCATGCCTGTCTCCTCGCCTTCCCAGGAAGCCAAGTGACAAAACTCATCACCTCAGACGTTTCCCTCTCTCCACTGTCCGACCCCAACTCATGTCCTGCAGACTCCACCTCCAAGTCTCCCCCAAACCCACCCAGGTCTCCCCATCCCTGGCAGCTCTGCCAGCCCAGGCTTCACCCCCAGCCTGATGGCTGCACGCGGCCTTTCATCAACTCTTCCCCCTCCAGCCCACCCGCGCTGCAGCAAGGGCAATCTTTCTGAGCTGTAAGTCAGTTCATTCCTTCACCCGTTCAATCATTGGGAATTTGGTGAACATCGGCTGCAAGTCAGGCATTGAACCTAAGAGCCGAGGTCCCTGCCGTCACCCTAGGGCCTGGCAAGGGCCACGGACCAAAACAAGTCAAGATATGAAACAAAGGCAGATATGAGCAGAGAATGGGATGCTCCCGTCAGCCCTGGCCTCTGGGGACAGTCCAAACTCCAGAGGCAGCTCAGCTCCGCACTCCACCCCCACCGGCTTTCAGTTCCTTATGGATAGAAACTACCAGAAGAATCTCCCTTTCCTCTTTGCCTGGCTAACTCCTCAGCCTTCAGAGCCACGTGAGGTCCCTTCCTCTAGGAGGCCCGCCTGCTCCGGGGTAAGCCGGGGCTATGGCCACTCCTCAATGTGCAGGAGCCTCATGCCCCAAGGAGCTCTTTGTGCTATGTGCACTGCTGGTCACCTGCCTTTCCTCAGGATGGGTGGCGGTGGGCCCTGTTTGTCCCTGTGTTACTCCGAAGTGCCTTACTCCACACCAGGAATGTTCAGAAAACACTTGCCAAATCAATGATTAAACGGGTGAGTGGATGGATAATTCCTGTCTTACCAAGCTATCTGTTCACATGAGTTTCAACCTGAAAAATAGCAATCAAGTGCCTGAGCCAGGCCACACCCACCCCTCCCTGTCCAGCCGGAGCCCATGGTGGCCCACAAGGAACCACCAGGCCCAGAGGGAGGAAGAAGGGGCTCCAGCATAGAAGGAGGGCCTAGGATTGTCCCAAGTGAACTTTTTTCCCTATCAAGCCTCTGGCACCCCAGGAGGGTGGAGACAGGATGTGATTAAGCAGTGTGCTAAAAGGGTGTCCAGAGGGTCTCCTTGGGTATGGCATGCTTGCCACCAGCTCCTTTCCCGAGGGTGACCTCAGCCGACAGGCATTACCTACCAGGCATGCTTGGGTGAGGAGCTGGGGGTGGGCGACAGAACAGGGAGCCCGGCTGGACGCCACTGGGTGGGAGGGCCCATCAAGCCCGTATGCCCTCACAGCTCCCAGGACAGACCAGCCATCACAAGGGGTCACGGGATGCCCAAGTGTGACCCAACTCCAGGGGCAATCTAGCTCCGCCCTGGGGCAGCCACTGGGTCCTGTCTGGCTGGGTCTGTCCAGTGCTCCCCAAACGCTGTTTCCCCTCGGGAGCCCAGTTCCTCCCCGGGGGCAGATTCTCCCGAGTGCAGCAATCCAGAATCGCATTTTGCCCTTGCACACTCACACATGAGTGCATAAGCGTAATTTGGGGGCAGGGGTTGGGGGGAGATAGGATTTGTCACAGTCTCTGATACAGAGAGGAGACAGGCTGGTTTGCAGTAAGAGGGGCTTCGGGGAGAGGCAAGGGGAGGTCAGGTCTGGACTCCAATCTGAGGGATGCTGGCGAAGGTCTGCCCTTTCCCGGGGCATTTCAGGGGCCTCCTGCCTGTGTCTGAGGCAGCTGGACACGGCTCCAGCCCAGAGCACTCAGCAGGCTGCCGGGAGATGCTGCCCAGCACAAGGCTGACACAGAGCAAGCACTCCATCAGCCAGCATGGCTGCTTCGTGCCCCTGCCTGCGATGGAGGCACAAAGACGGCTGAATCCAGTCTCCCCTCAGTCTCCAGACCCTGGCCCCGGGCTGCCACCACCATCCACCTCCCCGTGCGAGTATCCATCCTGAACGCAGGGACCAGGGAGACTTCTTTTTTCCAGTGCCAACCACCCCGCAGGTCCCCAGGAAAGGTGGGCACGGGAAGGTCCCCCCAGTAGCTGCAGCTGTGCTTCCATGGCAGAAGCCAGACCACTGAGCCACAGGAGCACCCTGCCCTTACCCTCCCCTGCCTGTCTCCGCGGAGGGGACCCTGGGTGGGCGGCTTCCTCACCAGGCAAGGGGCAGGCTCACAAGGCCTGCCAATGGTCTCAAGTGTGTCTCCAGGGTGTGGCCTCCCACACTGCCAGCCCAGCCCACAATGGTTTGCACAATTTCCTCTCCAGAAAGGCAGGTGTGACAAGTCAGCACCAACTAAGCCCAACTCTGCCCTCCACTAACCCTGAAATGCAGAGGGGCAAGGGGTGTGGGTAGCACTAGTTGTGGAGACTGCTTGGCTTCACCTCAGCAAGCATGAGTCACCCAAAGTTTCTGTACCCAGTGGACCCCCGATTGGCCCCTCGGCTCCAAATCTGGTCCAGGACAAGCTGAGCAAGCTCCAGGCTCCATTCATAAGCTCCAGGCTAAGTCCTACCCCCCACAATGCAGCCTCCTGCCCATGCTCCCCACCAGCCTACAAGGAACCCACCCAAGGTCACCCTACTATCCCACACCAACCCTCCTAGCAGGAGACCTCTGCAGCATTCACTGGCAAGGACAGGCTCCCAGCCCCAGAGATCCCTACACAGCAGGTCTGGAGTGGGGCCCAGGAGTCTGTGTGTTTAAAGCTCCTCCTGGGAGGCTCTGGGGACTGCAGGTGAGGACTCCAAACGCAGGGGAAGCAGTCTTCCCAGAGGCACTGGGCCTCTGCCAGGCACCTTACCCGGTTGGCCGTGACAGCCAGATTCTGGAGGTTCTGCAGGAGGCCAATGTCGGCGGGGAGGAGGGTGAGGTTGTTGTGGCTGAGGTCCAGGTAGCGCAGCTTGCGGCAGTAGAAGAGCTGGGTGGGGATCTTCTCAATCTTGTTGCGGTTCAGATAGAGGCGCTCAAGGTTGGTGAGGTTGCCGATCTGGATGGGGATGTAGGCGATGTGGTTGTACCACAGCTTAAGGCAGGTTAGACGGTGCAGGTGCTGGAAGCTGATGATCTCCTCGATGGTCTTGAGGTTGTTGTCCTTGAGGTCGATCTCCTGCAGGTTGTGGAGGCTGAAGATGGAGTGGGGGATGCGCTCCAGGTCACAGCGGATCAGCTCCAGCTCGGTCAGATTCACCATCTTCTTGAGGCTGTTGAGGACGATGAGCTTGGTGCCCTCGTTGTTGATGGACAGCTTCTGCAGGTGCACGCCCACGTCGGTGACCACCTGCGGCAGCTTGCTCAGGTTGCTCTTGAGCCGCAGCACCTTGAGGCGCTTGAGCTCGCGCAGCCCGTCAATCACAATGTAGCGGTTGTTCTCCGCGCTCAGGTTGCCTGTCAGGTGCAGTTCCTCCAAGGTCTTCAGGCTGTAGATCCACAGCGGGATCTCCTTGATGTCCGTGAACTTGATGTGCAGTGCGCGCAGGTTCTCGCGCAGGAAGGCCAGGGCGGGCGCCTCGATCTTGGCCGCCGTGTGGTACAGCCACAGCTCCTTGAGGCCCGTGAGCTGGGCGATGCTGGGTGGGATGGTCACGTCGGGGATCAGCTCCAGCTTCAGAACCTCCAGCTCCACCAGGTCAAACACAGTGTCGGGGATGCCGCTGAGCATGAACAGGTGCAGCTCCAGCTTGTCCTGTGCGTTCTTGGTGAGCCGCTGCCGCAGCTTGTCCAGTGTCCACTCGTTGTTCAGGTTCAGCTGCCGCAGCTTGTTCTCACTCACCTCTGACAGGAAGACGGCAAAGCGCTTTGAGTAGAGTGGGTCGTACTGGTCGATGAGATGCAGCATGAAGGCGAAGTCGTTCTTGACGTCAGGGATGTCACTGTAGCTGCTCTCCTCCCGGATCGACTCGAACGAGTACTTCTTGAGCGAGCGCCGCAGCATCCACCACAGCGTGTACATGCAGATGAGGCCGTAGAAGATGACCAGGCTGATGTAGAAGGACGCCAGGATCTTGAAGAGAGTGGCCAGTGGGTGGGCGCACCGGTAGGTGCGGTAGCCTGTCAGGCTCTCTATGTCCACGGTGCAGTCCACGTCGAACTTGATGTTGTGCACGTAGTAGACGGTGTAGCAGATGATGAGGATGAACTTGATCACCTTGATGATGGTCTGCCGCATGTAGAGACGGTACACGATGTCCCCCTCCTCCACGTGGGTCCGAAACTTCTTCACCTTCTCAAACAGTGCCTTGGCCTGCTCCCCCTCCTTCTTATCCAGCACACCTGTCTCCGAGCGGTCCACGATGCCCTGCTCGATACGGGACTTGGTCCGCTGCAGCATGGGCACAGTGGCCTCCACGTCCTCGCTGACCGTCGATGACTTCTTGTCCATGGAGCCATTCATCTTGCTGAAGGCCGGCTTGGGGTCACTCTCCTCTACCACTGTCTCTGACAGGGCCCGCGTGGTCCAAGGGGAGTCAAAGCACTTGAGCAGGATAGACACAAAGTGCTCCAGCTTCGAGCTGGTGCGTGGGAACTTAAACCAGAAGTTGCTGCAGGCCAGGAAGATGAGCGTGTGCAGAAGCACCAGGTAGGGGAAGTACTTGGCAAACCAGTGCAGGCGGTTCTCATAGCACACGGCATCCACATAATTGTACTGGTGCCGGTCCAGGTCGTACTTGATGCCCGTGGGGCCTGCCTCAGGGGGTGGCAGGATCGTGGAGTTTGGGTACGTGGGCTCTGGGCCAGAAGCAGCCCAGCCCCGGAACGAGTCGTTACAGGAGTCCTTGGTGACCCACTTACAAGGCAGGCAGATCATCTTGTCCTGGGTGACCTGCAGCGTGCCTCCAAAGACTGCAATCATCAGCATGACGATGGAGATGTAGTCAGTGAACACATCCCACCACGGCTTCAGGATCCGGTAGGCGGGCTGCGTGTCCGCAAAGTAGCGGAGCTCTGTCACCGGAATCATGGTTCAATCTGAAAGGGACCCACAGCGGGGGGTTACTTCAGGCGGCCTGGCTTTCTGGGACCGAGGGATCAGGGGAAGCAGACAGTGCTCCACTACCCAAAACTGCACTGAGTCTGGTTGGAAGTCACAGCCTTGCATGCACAGGCAGCCCGAGGACGGGTCCTTCTCCAGAAACCATGTGGTCACTGGGTGGCTGGGAAGCCAGAGCAGGGGAGGGCAGGTGGCCTCCCCCTTTAACAGAAGGGAGACTGAGCACCGAGGTCAGGGCCTGCACTGCCAGATCGCTAACGTGGCCTCCACAGCGGCATGCCCCTGCCTTCCAGCAAGAGCACCTGGGAATTCCTCTTTAGACCCCAGCCTATTAATGACGAGACTGACCGAAGGGACTCATTGAGAACTCCCATTCACTTGGAACTCGTTGCCTTGAAGTGTGCTGGTGGCCTGAAGAGATTTATGTGAAGCGTGAGAGAAGCCAAATGCAGAAGAGGGGGCTTAATATGAACTCACTTTTGTGAAACAAAAAGGGAAGTTTAAAAAATTCTACATGCGTGCAGGCGGTTTGTGACGGGGCAGGATGTTGTCCACATAGGCGTCTGGGAGCATGGGAAGGACACACACGGGAGGTGTGATGGTGGGCTCCTGGGTACAAGGTCACATAACGACAGGAGGACAAGAAAACAAGACCCCAAGCCGGAGGACAGGATCCCAGCTGCATAAACACAGCAGCAGAAGGAGGCGTCTGGAGAGTCCCGTAGAGCCTGGGAATCTGATTTTAACATGTGACATCAGTGACACTGGTGACTGGCTGTGTTTGGGAAACACTGGATAAGAAGCCTCTTTCAGGAAATGCAGCCAGCAACAGGGAGGAAGCTTGCAACCGAATCAGTGTGCCGAAGGGATCCTGTCATCAGGTTGTGCAGGGCCACCCTGCATCACATGTTGCTCTTTTAATGAACAGTCTTAAGACTGTAACAAGATAGAAAAGATACTAGGTATTCACTGGAAAACTGGGAAAATACAAAAAAGCATGAGAATAAAAAAAATCCCCTGGGAGAACACTGCCCAGGGTTACCCACTGATAACTTCAACTGAGTGATAACTTTCCAGTCCTATCTGTGTATTTTTTTTTAAATAAAATTGTGATTTTACTTTACTCCCTATTTTCTAATCTAGAATCTAGACTTTAAATTATAGTTGAAATACCTGGATTTTAACAAATGGGTCTGTTTTCCTTGGTAGAAGAACAAGGGAGCTGAGGTTATGCGGCTGGGCCACCTTATTTTGATTACTGAAAATACTAACACCAGTAGAGAACCCATGGTAAAACGGCCTCTGTGGAGGCCAAATGCTTCCTGTCCCGTCTTCCGAGAGCATGCTGGGGTGGGGGCGGGGAACAGGACTAAAGCCAGCCAGGACCCTGTGAGGGAACTGGAGCACTTTACAGACAGACGTGTACCAGGCCCCGGCCTGGCCCTCACCATGGCATCTGCCTCGTGGAATCCCCTCAGTGCCCAGAGGGCCTCTCTTCGGCCCCATTCCACAGACAGGGAACTAAGGTTTGGGGAGGTAAAGTCTGCTGCCCACCATCACTCTACTACTCGGCAGATCTGAGATGAAACCCAGCCTGCCCCTCCACCTCCTCACCACATTAGCTCGCTGCCCCTGACTGCCGTGAGGGCCAAGAATCAGCCCAGGAGTCCTGCTTCCCCTGCCCCCAGAGTTCCCTGGGCTCAGCCCTCCTGGGGAGGCCACGACTCATGAGCCAGGGTGAGCGAGTGCCTGGCCACAGGAAGGCCCGGGCCCTCTGAAGACCAGCTGGCTGCTCAGGCCACCCGCACTCCTGGGGAAGCGGGACTCCACAGAGGAGGGCCTGCTGAATCAGCCAGCCAGCCTCAAGCTGGAAGACATCAGGACACTCGTCCCTCCCTTCCTGGCTCCCCGCGTCCACACCCAGGGAGGCGCCCGAAGACTGGGGACCGGAAGGGAGGAGGGGCCTAAGGGGTGCAGGAGCCTGCCCCCGCAAGAGTCCAGAACGCGACTGCCAGAGCAGGATGCGAGACGCCGGGGGAGGGCGGTTTGGGACCCGGCAGGATGTGGTTCCAGCCTTACTTCAAGAGGGAAGAGGGTGTGCAGACCCACTGGAGGCGCCCAGCTTCTGGGTGACGAGCTGCCTCAGGGCCCTTGCTGGCCCGGGGCTTCACCTGTTGCCTTCCTGACCTCTGGTCCTGAGGCAGGAGCAGCTGACCGCTGCTGACAGCTGAGGGAACTGGCGGCTCAGAGCGGCAGGAAACGGTCCAGTCCATACGGTATATTTGGCTCTTACCACCCCCCCACCCTGACACCTGGAACTCTCCGGCCAGCCCTTGGCTTGGTCCCCTGAGGGCAATAAAAGTGACCAAGGTGCACCCCACGCCTCAGGGGCCTTTCAGTCCAGTGTGAACATGTGGGGAATGGGGGAGGCAGAAATGTCTGAGCAACCAGACCCTGTGTCAGGGCAGAGGACAGCCATGGTCACAGCAGGAACCTCCCAGAGGGCACAGTCGTGCCAGTCCCTGAGGCTCCCGCAGTGTCCTTAGCTCAGGGATGTTTCCCCCCCCCCATTGTACAAAGGACACCAGGTGTTTTGAGCACACAGAAGAGGATATTCCCTGACAAGGGCAGGCGCTCAATGAATTCAGAGCGTCTCAAGAGGGCGCCTGATCGGGGCCAGGACAGAGTGGGGCGCAGTGAGGCGCACGGCCCTGGGAGTGCGGTGGAGGCGGGCAGCAGCAGGGTCAGGTAGATGCGAGCTGGTACCTCTCAGGCACAGGGAGGAGGAAGCAGCGGCCTCGGCCCTCCCTACCCCGCCCAGCCCCAAGAGCCCTGGGGAAGGCGACTGCCCCCAGGTAGGGACCTGCCGGGAAGTTGGGTGATTCAGGGTGAGTAACCACCACAGGGGAGCAGCTTCCCATTCTCAGGCTGACAACTAAGTGCGAAGCCCAGTGTCCTCACAAGCCCTGGAGATGCCCATGGTTTTGGCACTCACCTAATTTTCCCCACATTTTTTTTATTGTGGTAAAATACTGGTAACATAAAAGCTACCATTTTAACTATTTTTAGGTGTACAGCTCAGTGGCATTAAATACATTGATGCTGTTGTGTGAACCATCCCCACCGCCCAGCTCCATAACTCTTCTCACCTTGCAAAACTGAAACTGTGGGCACTAAACAACTCCCCACTCCCCCGGCCCGCATTCTCCTTCCTGTCTCTATGATTTGACTCCTCTAGGGACCTCATTTAAGGAGAAGCACACAACATTTGTCCTTTTGTGACTGGCTTATTTCACTTAACAGAATATCCTCGAGGTTTATCCATGTTGTAGCTCATGTCAGAATGTACTTCCTTTTTAAGGCTGGATAATACTCATGCCCACTTTACAGACAGGGAAACCAAGGCTCAGGGAGAGAAGTCATTTGCCTAATTTCACACTGTGACAGAGGCCACCTTCAAACCCAGATCTGCAGTGGAGCCCAGCATGCATTATCTTTTTTTTTATTAAGGTATCGTTGATATACAATCTTTTAAGGGTTTCACATGAGCAACATTGTGGTTATTATATTCACCCATATCATCAAGTCCCCCCCACATACCCCATTACAGTCACTGTCCATCAGCGTAGTAAGATGCTATAGAGTCACTACTTGTCTTCTCTGTGCTATACTGCCTTTCCCGTGCCCCCTGCTACATTATGTATGCTGATCATAATGCCCTTTAATCCCCTTCTCCCCCACCCCCTTCCCTTTGGTAACCACTAGTCCCTTCTTGGAGTCTGTGAGTCTCCTGCTGTTTTGTTCCTTCAGTTTTGTTTCATTGTCATATTCCACAAATGAGGGAAATCATTTGGTACTTGTCTTTCTCTGGGCATAATACCCTCTAGCTCCATCCATGTTGTTGCAAATGGTAGGGTTTGTTTTCTTCTTATGGCTGAATAAGTGTATATGTATCATTGTGTATATGTACCACCTCTTCTTTATCCATGCATCTACTGATGGACACTTAGGTTGCTTCCATATCTTGGCTACTGCAAATAGTCCAGCATGCATTACCTTTGTGACTGAAAAATAGTACAGAATTTAAAATAAATAGAGCGTTAAAAAAAAAAGAAAGAAAAAACTGGCCCCTGTCGGGGTGGAGATCGGGTGTTCCAAGAGGGTGATTTCAAGAGGGCAACAAGAGTTGGGTCAGGGTAGGTCTTAGGCCCAAGAGATGGAGAATTTGGCAAGGATCCTGAATAGAGTACAAAGATTAAAGGGTTGAAATAGGGGAGCTGAGAAAGGACAAAAAGGCAATGTGCCTGCTATCTGAGCTGAAGTCTAGCTAATTCTCTGTCTTCTAGAACAGATGCCTCACTTTAAGCTGGAGACTGTGCCCTCCTACAGGTCAGGGATTAAGCTCCACCAGTGAGGTTGGAGACCCCTAGCTGCACCCAGGCAAAGTCTGGGAGGCAGTGGGCAGGAGACCACCAGAGGATCGTTGACGGGGGAGGCTGGGAGCCCTGAGGACAGGGGCAAGTCCAGATTCGCCGGGCCCCTTGTGCAGAACCTGGAATGCAGATGGTGGAGTGAAGGTTTGCTGAACTGGGCTGAGCCCAGTTAGAAGACGTGGTAGGAGGGAGGGTGGCAATCATCTGGGAAAGACTCTAGGACAAAGATTCAGTTAATGTTTATCACAGGGTTATTTATACTCCAGGAAAACTGGAAACAACCCAGATGCTTGTTATAGGGCAACTGGTTAAATACTTATTAAATGGTCAGATGATGGAATACTACGAAAAATGTAAACATGCTGGAGGAAAACATTGATGACTTGCTGACATGAGAAAATGTCTGAAGTCTGCTAAATGCAGAGCAGGTAACCAAACCGTGGCAGAATAACCCTTCTGTGATAAGTTTTATATATATTTGAACAACACTGTCAGTGAGGCTAGACTGCTGTTTATAGTTTTTTTTTTCACCCAAACTTACCTCT